TGACATATATCGCCATGCAAAGTACATTTTTTAAAATGTTCTTATTTTTTCGGTTTTCTGCTAGTAGACCAGAAATGTTATTTTAAGAATATTCAAGAACAGTAGAACCTCATCCTAAATGGCAATTATCATTGAAAAATTTGAAGCGGTTTAAAAAAAAAAAGTATTCAAGCTTTACTGTAAATGCGAAACGACGATTTTCACAGAAAAATTTGGAGTTGAAATGACTTCAATTGAAGTCATTTGCAGCACATTAACTGAGTGAGAGATATTAAAAATAATAATAATAATAATAATAAAACAATAACACAAACCAAACAAATGAAACAAAATTAATTTTATGTCATCTTAAAATATGCAATTAACACTAGTCATATCAAAACTTAAAATGGACCCATTTTTGCGAAATTTTTGAAAATGTCCATGAGGTATCATGCAAAGTGACCCCAAATTTCAAAGAAAGTTTGTCAAAAACACAACACCTCAAATCAAGCCAGATTGACTGGCGAATTAAAATTTTGAAAAATATCCTACATATGTTTTAGGGGCTAGTGGTGTTTACAGATGGACAGACAGAAACAGGCAAAGTTTTGAAGGAAAAAAAAACAACAAACAAGACACTAAATAAAGGATTAATTTCTACACACACACAAAAACAGCGAGAACTTATTCCAACATATTTTATAATAAAATATTAATACTAATAATATTTACAAGTGACCATTACTTCAAGGCAAGAGAAGGAAAGGCAGATTTATAACCATAACTGTTACAGGGGGAGTCGACAAACTGCATATACATTTTGGGATAAGAGCACAGAGGTGCTGGAAAATGAATCAGGATTCAGTATAACGTTTAATTTAAAACTCAATTATGCCCATCATCATTACTGTAATAATAATAATAAATTATATTATTATTATATTATATTACTATAATAACAATATATTACTTTTATTATTATCAAACTTTCAAGAAAATCAGCTCTGTACCATATATACTTATGCACATTTTGCACTTCTAGGGCAAAAAATTAAGTCAACATTTTCAAATTACATGGACATCATAAAACGTAATTATATTAAAATAAAAATTAAAAGATCCATTTCATGTTCAGAGGACCTCAAGCAGAGCCAGATCAATTGAAGAACATTCATTTTAAACACCAAATCCAAATAGTTTAGGTGCTAATGTTGTTCACATATGAACAAAATTTAAAAAAAAAAACAACAAAAAAAAAAACTTTTTCAATATTTGGGACCTCCAATATTTCCACCTATCTCTAAAGTGATTATTTAACAATTATAGGACAAATTCTTGAACTTCTTCCACAACTATCTTTCTCTATGACAGTTTAAAAAAATAGTGACAACACAAATGAAAACTTCATTTTTTCACTTAGTAAGAAAATCAGGATATTTCTTATTTTCAGTCATCTTATTGAATAATTACGACTCATAGATCAGAATATAGCCAACGTTTCATGATATATAACTCTAAATAGAAGAGAATCTGGATGAAGTTTCACAGTCATGTAGGTTTCTGTGCAAAAAGTTTAAGTTTCCGAACAGTTGCCTGCACGAAGTTCACATTTCCTGCATGATATTAATGCAGAATTATCATAGCAAAGAAAGTACATCTGCTGATGGCACACTTTCACAAAAAATGTGAAGCTAGGAATGTGTAATATCAATTAAAACATAGTGAAGGACCACTGAAGAAACCACAAAAAGCCAATACAAATATAACATTTCAAATTAAAAACAAACAAAATTCTTGCGTTCCTTGTACGGCAATCTGATGGTTCTGTCAGAACTACTGTTCTGAACCCAATGCTGTATACAGGCATATAACTGCATAATCTTCTAAATCCAAAAATCAATATATAAAATTGTCTTGAGTCATTTAAAAGTTTCTATGCAGTAATTATCATGTAATGTCACCTTAAAGAATCCATATATTGAAGATACATACTCTGTCATAACAAAGCAGTGTTGAAAAATTTGCTGTCTTAAGGCTGTGAATAGTATGCACAAATTTCGCACAATAAACAGCATCCATTGCAGTAAAAATGCATCGTGGAAACAAACACAACTGCAAAAACTGTGTAATAGTTTCATTTTTTGCAGCCTTTGCAGATCTGGATAAAAACCACGAATCCTTTTCCTATTTAAAATAAAGCATGTATATCAGTTATTGAAAAGCATTGTTAAACACATATACATGACATTTACATTTATAAAACCATTAAAACCTACTTGCTTTAGGCGAGCCATAACTTTTTCCACATGCTCTTGTTGTTTTTTCTTTTCATCATGAAGTTTCTCCATTAATGCTTGAAATCTCTCTTGTTCTTTCTTTCCTTTGCTAGCAGCCTAAATTCCAAAGATACAGTATTAAAGACATTTAAAAACATTTTCTTTCAATAATTTCTATATTTCAATAGATGAAAGATTCATATTTATTGGAAAATGGAATTGCCAATTCTTATTCAAATCTCAACCCATCATTCAAAAATGTATACGTTAATTATAATTATCTCACCATGTCTTTTGCATCCAAAGCTTGGGCTGCAAGAGCCTTTATTTTATTAATTTCCCTCTGATAACTGTCAGCTGGCACAAACAAATCATACATGGTCAAAGACCAGAATGTAACAAGAAACTGTGGAGAAATATCTTCCCACACTTTCATCGGATGTAAAGGCCGGACAGAGGCAACAATAGGGCTCATCACTTCACTGGCAGCTTCACAATATAACTGATGTTTAGCAGATGGTGAAAGTTTCTTGTTATTGGGATCGGCTTTTCGCACGGATTCAAATTTCTGCTGCAAAACAAGGAAAAATACAAACAATTATAATAAGAAGGGTTGCATTCTCTTTCACAGATGTACAGTTAGTAATAAAAGAACTGATACTTTCTTCATTGGGCACTATCTCAGACTTTCATAATATCTTACTTACATTTATAGCATGAGTAAACATAGGACGAGCTAAGAAGAATGCAACATCTGCATGCATGTGATAGTCAGCCAGCATACTATGAATTGATGGTAATTTTGTAACATATTCTTCCATGGATAATGTTGACCCCAAGAATGTTCCAAACTGTACCAATGTATCTTGACACTGAAAACATACCAAACAATAAAGTGAAGATTTAATAATAGCGAAAAAACGACTTGTTATTTTATAAAATGCAAAACAAAATATTGCACCCATGAGCATATATTCTCTTGTATTATTTGTAAATTAAATAATATAACATAATGAATTTACAAAAAGTTATAAATAGAAGCAGTAACTCTTTGAATTATATAAATCAAAACTAAAAAAGTATTATACTGCAAATTATTTATTACTTGGGACAATGCACAGTTTACTTCTACTAATATTTCCTCAATTCCACTTTGGAAGGACAATTCACCTTTCTTACGCTATATGTCCAAGAACGTGCTTGTGAATGCCTGAATATATACACTGAATGAGAATCAATAAATTTTGTTCCAATGGCAAGAATGCTGGTTTCTTCAGCTCTCAATTCAGCGAAATCTCTCTGAGCCTTGTTGAATGACCAACTATCCACAAAACTGATTTTTCTTGGAGTGGACACTGAAACCCATACTTTCTTACAGACAACCCCTCTCCCTCACCAACCAGCCCATTAATAGAAATTTTCTTAATTTACCACTTTCAGGAAAATTGGCAATGCATTAAATTGGGAGTTGAAATGAAAATTGGCAATGCATTAAATGCATCAGCTTCATTTACAAGAAAATTAGAAGGCAGGGGGGTTCAGGAATCAAGCAACAAAGTCTGGCCAATGATATAGCATATGGTTGCTTGCACCATTTCATTTTAAATTCCATGTGGTAGCAGATATCTTGTGGTAATTCATAATGGGAGAAGGAAATAATAACAAATTTCAGTGAATTCTGTATGAAAAGCAGTCAATTGAGCTTCCTGTATAAAAAGCAGTCAATTTTAAATTTGTTTACGACTACCACTTCTACTCTTCCTGTCCCACCCCCACCCCCCTCCCATAACAGGCAGGCTTACTCTTCACTCCATTCCAAAAGATGGCTGCCACCTAGTAGTACCATGCATGTTTTATTTTGTTTTCCAACCATGTTGTGAACATTTATAAGTGATCCACGTTGCTTGGGCAGTAAGTATTTTTAATTTTATTTATTTCTCATTTATTTCGTATTATCTGTTAATTTTTTTCACATTAATCACAGTATTTCTTTTTGCTCCCTTTATATTAATTTTTTTTTCAATTTTCTTCTCCTTGCTAGAGTCCCACAGAGGAAAGGAAAAGTGTTTTCCTGAAAGTTAGCTCTGGTTAATAACTAATAAAATTATTATACTTTTTGTGGATGATTATTTCCTTTTCCCATTGCCATTTCAGTTTCATTTCTTTAACGAGATAGTGGATACGAAAGTGAAACAACATTTAATTCTTTGAATTAACAGAGCTTTCCTTAATTTATTTTCCTAGATGAACACCAATACGGTGGAATGTCAGGGTTATTAATTTGCCTCGTAACATGAGTGTTTGAGTTGCATCTGGAATCTGAGCCCAGTGCTCACCCAAGCCCCATCGCTTGAAGATTTTGATTGAACAAAATTTTTAAAATGTTAAGGCTTCATGACAATTTTCCCCCCAAATCCAAAATATCTTTTTTAAATCCACAAGGCTTCAAATTCGGCCCGACCGATCTACATTGCAGTTCTTCTTTCTCTCCCCCCACCCACAAGCATACTTTTTTTTTTCCAACCACTTTCCTGCATCATTCTTTTTTATTTTTTGCTCCCTTGATTAGTTATGTATTTCATTTATTCTAGCTCTTTTTGCTTCTCCTAGTCTTTTAGTTTCTTCCAATCGCCCCACCCCGGGGCACCTGACTACAATGTTGCCCACATGCATTGTAGAAAAATACATTTTGAATAGCCATGCTATTTTTTATTCTTATCCACTTAATAGAATTCATGCCAAATATGGGAACTATCACTCCAGAGGATATAAAAATTTTGCAGATACACATCTCTGTATTCTCAATTTTATGCAATAGATAAAACAACTTAGGAAAACTCACGAACACATAATAAAATTGAACATAAAGTAAAACATCACTTATTTGTTTTTCAGGGGACTGAAAGAAAAATGTGTATGAAAATCGTATAAACGTAAAAAGCATATCTGAAATAATATAGCATTGGAAGTACAGAAATTTATCCGGTATTTACAAAAAAATAATGTATAAATGTGAAAGACATAAGAGTTAAATGTATAAAAGTAGTTTCACTCTAAATTGTGGTGAGAAGAGTTCTTTAAAAATATAAATGCGGTCCACAGGAGTGTTCGACAGTTCCAATGTAATAGAACGGAAAATTCCTACCTTAATTATGAAAAAACATTTAATTAAATAACATGAACCAATCATAGTAGTAATGGTTAGAAACAATGAAACCATTTTACCTGATCGTAAAGTTTCCCAACTAGCTTCAAATGGTTCTGGTCAGTTTCTTTGTAAACAACACAGTATCGTTGTTGGGCCATGAGTAAACACAATGCTACTGCCAAATTTGACTCAGCAAGAGCTTCTTTCAGTCGCTGTGAAGACTTCTTGGTGTTGCGTACTTGACTAAAGTAACCAGCCTGTAAATCAAAGCATCATTTTCCTAAAATACAACAGAATGAAGAAGTAAATGCAACTAGCTGCCAAAACATGCAAAACCTGAACGTTCAAATTCATGAATCAAATACACCAAATGCTCTTGCATATGTTCACTGAACTGCTAATAACATCAATGTATAAATCCTAAAAATGTTTTACCACTTTTCTTTAAACTTTTAAATATTTTAACCGAATATTTGTTTAGGATGCTGAGTCTAACAAGCTAACAGTGTGATCTTCACAATGATAGTCAAACTACATTCATCACCTTAATCAGCCACAATTTATCATTGATGGATGTGCCTATGGTGCATAAATCAGAGCATTCTTAAGAAATAGTTGTAATCTGTATTCACTTGAGGTTAATAGTTTGGCCATCATACAAAAATACATGCACAGAGGTAATAATAGAAAAGCAAATAATTTCTTATTTCATCACAAATCCTTAATTGCAAATACTATTAAGAACAAGTTGGAAGCTTCAGAAATAAAACAAATACTAGCTACAATAAACCATGCCTGCAAAAGCTTAAATTTTTAAATGGCATTTATTACATAGTTCTTGCAAGTGCGGAAAACTAGTATAACTTGCTTACATTCCATCATTTTAACTTCAAAATTTATATTTATGATATGGGAATAGCTAAACATATAACAAACTTTAATAGTAATATTTCTTTTTGTTTGTATCAGCATAGATTTCTATGACTAAGTCATTCCACGAAAACAATAAATATTATGCAAAGTTGGACACCTCCATAGGGGATCGATCTTTATCATTACACCATTCATGACAGAGGTAAAAATAAACATAGGGTATAGGTTAAACTAAATGTAAAGTAAGATGAAAGGTTTTGAAGTATTTTTATGAAGATAGATTTTTGTGTCTGTTACTTCTTTTATAAAGTAAAACTACTAAATTTATATCCTGTCGTGATCAGATATTCTTCAAACATTACACATTGGGGTAAATTACAAAATTCTCATGCAGAGGGGGGGGGGGTGCTTTATTACACTAAATGATGGAGAGGAACAGAGTAATTGAAAATTGTATATTCAAAAAGGGACGTAGGAGTACCCAAAATGTCAATGCACTAGTGTCATGTATCTGACAGATATACTAACATTTTTCATTCTAACACCATTTCCAGCCTATTTAAAGAAACAATTATTAAGGAGATTGGAGGGGAGGGGGGGGTCATCGCTTGTGAAATTGAAGTTTTTCTTAATGACACAATGTTTGAAAGTTGTTAGTTGTTGGGACTGACAATGAATTACTCAGAAATCAACACAGAAAGGATACATAATCTCAGTTCATTGGTACATCACATCGTTTATTTAAAAATATTAGATTTTTCAAATGTACTCATAGGTTAATTATTTAAGGAAACATTAAGATAACCCTCCCTTTCCTAATTTTTATAGTAATTTTACCTGTCAAGTTCATTTTTCATTCAAGCACATTATTTTATCAATTGTAAAGGGTGGGATGGGATTCATGGTTGGTAGATGTATATAAGGAAGGAGTTCTAATAGTTTTCAGCCTGACTCACAGATGGTGTGAGGATCGCCAAGATTCTTTGGTACATTTTGTCAATGAGCCTCACAATGGAGCGCTGTAAAGTTTGAAACGTGTATATTAATTTGTTTTCTTCCTGTGGTCTAGTGGTCAGAGACATGTGTCAACTGTGTACAAAATGGAGAAAAGTGAATTACAAGCTGTTACAGTTTTTCAACGTATAAGCTGTTCCAGAAGAAGTTCCATGTTTTGAAAGGTTTAACCCCAATGGACATTGAAGGATTCATCCCCTGTAAAAAAAAAACGGGCTGCTGAATTTAAACGTGGTCATTCATCGATTGAAGAGGAGCACTCAGGACATCCAAAACCCTCAACAACAAAACAAAATGTGACAAAAATTTACAAGGTTATACTAAGTAATCTCTGAGTACATGAGCTAGCTGACATTGCAAAGATCTCGTCAGGCCTTATGCACTACATTTTGAATGAAGTTTTTGGTATGTCAAAGCGTGCCACATTTTAAGTGACCAAAAATGCAATCGAATGAACATTTCTGAACAGTGATAGCATTGTTTAAATGCAATCTTAGTGAGTTTCTTGTTTTATAACATTAGATAAATCATGGATTCATCACCACCACACTGGAGAGAAAGGTGGGCCCAAATGAAAGTGCCAAAGAAGGCAAAAGTGGCTCCAGCCACAGGGAAAGTCAGGATTATATTTTGGGATTTTCACGGTGGTGCTTGCAGTCTACCTCCAGAAGAAAACTATCACTGGGGAGTTCTATGCTTCACTTGTGGACTAACTGAAATTCACTATTAAGATTAAATACATCTAATGAAGAAGGAAGTTATCTTTCATCACAACAATGCACCTTCACACACATCTGGCATCCTCACAGCAAAACTTCATGAACTCCCCGTCAAAGTCCATCGCTTCCACATCCAGTATATTCCCCTGACTTAGCGACCAGTGATTACTTTCTGTTCACAAATTTGAAAATATGGCTAGCAGGAAGAATATTCACATCAAATTATTGAGTTGAAGTTGAGTCAGATGCTTATTTTGCACGGTAGGACAAATTGTATTTTACTGAGGATATTAAAAAGTTGGAAAGTTATTAGACAAAGTGCAATATTTTGAAAGAAGACGATTGATGTTTATTAAAAAAGATGTTTATTAAAAAATTGTAAGCAGGAGGAAGGGAGGGGTTTAAAAAACCATATTTCTCTGTCTATATTTCTTGAATGACATATTGAAATTAATAAGTAGACAAATTTAATTACTTCTCCCTTGAGCAATTCACCACCCGCCATGGCATCCAACTGTTCTGCAGTCATCTCTTCTGCAGCTTCAATACCTGCCATTTTCTGCACAATTTCTTTCAGTATGAGTAAATCCACACTGCAACGGAAATGTATAGGCCATCAGTAAAACTACAGAGCATTCATATTATTTAAAGAAAATACAAATTCAAATGTGAATTAACCTTTTCTGAGCTTTTAATTGATTAGCAACATATTGTAACAATCCAGTTAATTCAATATTATATTTCTTGAAAATTGCTCCACAAAAGGATGCCAGGCTTTGCAACCATGGAGATAAAGATGTTCCATCATTTTGCAAACGATCACGTTCCACGCTAGCAAGAGATTCTACCAAGCAAAACCCTAGTACATCATAAGATAAACTGGTCAAATATTTCAGAGAATCTACCACAGGGTTTGTTAAATTGTCATAAATCTGTATTTGAAGAAGTACCTACAAGAAAAATGAAAAAATCTCATAAATATACAAAAGTACCACATCATAATCAATAAAATGACAACCTCAAAAACACATCAACTTCAAAACATTAAATCTGTAAACTTACATAATCAAAAAGGAATCCGGGGGAGCAATGAGTAAGTTTGCCAATTAAACGTCCAACTGGCTTTATATTTTCCTTACTTACACGCTTCATAATCGATTTAATTTTCTTTTGAGCTTCACCTCTTTTCCGAAGTAATTTCGCATGATTCTGATAAGTTTCATTTTTCCAACGACTATACAAACAGTATCTGTACAACATTTAAAATTTAAAATTAGCAACTAAAAAAAGTTTCAAGTTCACATAATTTTCCAAACATTTAAATTTTTTATGAAATTGCACTAACGGATGAAACAAGCCAACTCACCTGCACTGGTAGGGATAAAGCTTCAAAATATTCCAAACTTCTTCAGCTATGCAACAGTTGCAATCCATGTATGACAAGGAAGGTAAAATTACTTCATCCATTAGAGTAATAATGTCATAGTAAAGATTATCTCCTTCAGGAACCAATTGTTGATTTTCTTCACAATTCTGTACACATATCATTCGAAAGATGTTTGAAAATATAATTTTTCATCTCTTCAACTACCATTCACTTTTTTGATTAGTATGATTGAAATTCATTGTAATAAAAGAAATGAAAAATATGCACATTTTATATGTGTACAATCACCCAATATATGTAAAATAATTGAAAATATATAAAATACAAATACATGATAGTATTTAAAATTGCTTCATACAAGCATTTTAAATTTTAAAACCTACAACCTCAATAATGAATGGATTTGTAGTGGTCGAGTGAATGTTTGATATTTACACATCTGTCTGCATCACACAATACAAGTTATGAACAAAATTTAAAATACATACTAGTATACACAATGTTATTTACAAATAGAGCAGCTGTGAAGAATCATCTCGAAAGACCAGTAGATAATTCAGTGGGCAGAAGAAGACAATATCCCCACACAAATTTAACATTTTTAATTTCTCATACACACGTACAATAATTATATTAATAATTATTAAAGATTACATGAGAAAACATTAAATGCTGAAGAAAAAAATCAATTTTTTGGACCGAAAAACTGAACTTGTGGGTTCGTGATACCGAAAAAAATTATTTTCTTCCATTTATATGTAGTGCATTACATTCTTGAGTACAAGCAAAAAACATCTTTTGGGAGGCCCTGATAGCAAAATTGCACGTTACGTCTCAAAGACGGAAAATGTTACATTACAATTGAGATGTTTCCAGCAGAGGTGATGCTAGCAGCCGAAGTTAGAATTTCTAAGTACTAAACGAGTAATGTAAGTATTTTTATTGCATACTATGTCGCATTTCCTTACTTTTATTTTATTTTCATAATGCAAATTTCTATATGTACAAGTGCCTATAAACAATTGCCCATGGTGAAAGAACCACGTAAAATCTTGACGTCTGTGAAAGAATTACAGTGCTCTAAACATTTTAAAATGGGATTGAAAGATTAACCCATTGACTGCTCTATATGAGTTGATACACAGTGCCTGTTAGCCTCTGAACGTGTTATTACGCTCAGTCAAGTCGTCTCTGGGAACATCTTGACGACATCGTATGCAAAACTGCAATGTCCAAGGAAACATCTGAATGAGCTCGCTCATCCAGACGCGCTTTCAGCTATTGTGAGACTTCCTGATAATTGATGTGTTTTGAGCATAATTTGTAATTTGCAAGCGAGCTCAGCACACAAAGGAGCCTGCAGCTAGAGGCATGATAAGATACATGACTCACAGAAGTCTGGTCGGCAGCAGTTAAAGGTTTAAAGAGATTATCCAGAAACTGATAATAGATGAACCCAATGAAGCAATTGAACATAAAAAAAGAATTTTAGAAAGAAAATAAAAAAATAAAAAAGGGAAAAGAAAAAAAATTAATTGTCCAAGGCAAAATACAAATATTAGCATAGTTAATGAGAATGTAATTTTGGCTTACTTATCACTTGGTAAGTAGTTCCTATTACAGCTACAACATTGTATTTTGTAACTAATGATACTAATTTTGGTAGTCCAAGAAGGTGAATTCTACTCCCTAATGTTCGAAATGTTCCATGATTAAATCCATTATTGTATGTCATCAATATCAGGAGGGAGATAATGAAACATTTTTTCCACATTAACCATTCTCTGGTGAAATTGTTTTTTTTTTTTAATTTTTTTATTTCAGTTATTTTGTGCGCTATCCTATAATCTCTTAAAAAATTGTAGCTGGCCTAGGGTGACTACAATGGTGAATTTGTCATCAGCTTCAAGAGTGAGGGAAACAGGAGGCAGCTGATTCCATCCCCATTAACCCACTGGCTACAGTTTTTTTCACTTGTAAATTAATGGGCTACCACATAAGCATCTTTTTGAGTTGTTCTTAAAATATAAATTTATAACTTAAAATAAAATATAATAGCTACAAAAGTGAATTATTAATGAACTAAATTATATCTTGCTCTAAAAGATAACTGTCAATATTCATGTATAATTAATATTCTCCAATCATTTATGAAAATTATTCTTTTGGTAATTGCTCAAATTGGTAAATAATTAAACAATTTTGGTTATATTTTGCACACACTTCGTTGAACAAAAATTCACAATGTTTTAATTCGCAAACAAAAAAATTAAAACAGGAAATTTTCTTAAATTTCTCTCAACTCTTCTATGCTTGTGCGATGCACATGAACATACCTTTTAATAATTAAGCAGTAAGATAAAGACTTTACCTGAGTTAAAGCTGACTTTGCAATTCTTAACACTTTGTACATTAGAACAGGGTCATGATGGAGTGATGGTCCTAATGCCAACAGCATAGGGATCACACAATCTCTCAATTCTAAAAATGTAGTGGCTGGTTTTGGGGCAAGCGAGTTATCAAGTTGTGCAACAGGCCTTCCAGGAATTTTTGAGGCAAGCCCACAATTCCTGTAATTAACGTATTTGAATAACATTAATGTATTTGTTCAACATTCACAAAAGACAATGTACTTTATATATCTGCATATTGTATGTATATGTTGTGTGTATGTATAAAAACATACTTTTGTATGCACATAAACTAAAACTACATTTATAAAATTTATTAAAAACAATCATCAAATGTGACTTCAATGATGGAAACAACCAAGAGAATAAATAATTCAACTTACTTCCTATAAACTGGCTCCATAACTGAATGAAGTAATTGGCACATAGCACGTGCTATAGGAGGTTGGTCCATTGCACAATGTTCAGGTAACTTTTTACATAATTGTTCAGCATGATGCCAATCTCCAATTAACAATAATGCTTCACAAAGACCGAACTTCTGATTGGCAGCATACTGCATGTGAACAGAGACAAACCATGAATATGACTACAGATTATGACTACCGACATTAAGATTTTATAGTATATTATTAATGGTGGCAATAGTATACCAGAGTATTTCCATACAGTGTCACAACCTTATATTGCAGTATGGTGTAATTAGGCATCAGTGTTGCCTGATTTCCAATACCATTCAAGGCAAATGGCTTTTAATGTTCAAATTCAGAGAACAACATTCAATCACTTAATTGATTCAATTGTTACATTCATGTTTAAGAATGATTGTGACACATCATAAATATAATATTGTGTATTCTTGAAAGGTTTTTTGCTATGAAGATGCCAGATTTCCATAATGTAATGAAATATATTCCAAACCTTCAATGAATTAAAAGAACTACTGGTTCTTTTAACAGCACATTCTTTCTCATCCTATTTGTAATAAATAATATGTAATAGTTTCTCAACTAGAGTATACTGAAATCATACAGGGAGTACGCTGATGCCTGCTTACATAAAAACATGCAATGGTCGTATTAAAAGTGCTACCTTAGATCTTCCTTCACGAAGTTCACACGACATTAAACACGAGTTCATTATATCTTTAAAATACCACGTCACTAGACAAATTATAGACACAATATCCCTGACGAGAATAGACAATAGTTATATTATTGCTACGTTGTGTGATATAATTTTTATGAGTTCAAACATTACCTACTTCAAAATTCCAGTGAGATTTTGTATGATGAGTGAATGTTAGTTCACAAGTCCTTTTCTTGTGTGACTGACCTATACATAATAAAATGGTTTTCACATTCTTGAATTTTGTAAAAAATTGGCCTTAGAGCTTATCTTCTTCATTGGTAAAATATAAATACATTCATAAATAAAATTGTAGATAAGATAGCATTAAGAAATACTTATTTAGCTTCAATATTATAGGTGTAGGTTTTCTTTCCAAATGATTTAAGTAGTTCTCTTAGAGCATCCAGCAGCTTGAGAGGTTTATTTCACAGCACTGCTTATGTTCATGTATTTTAAAGAAAAGTTCAAAGGCATAAAAATCCGTTTCTCTTTCTTGTCACGTAAGTGTGCCTATGCATCCTCTCTTGCCTCCATCATGCCTGATGTCTATTTAATAACATTTCAGTAAATAATATTCACATTGTTAATCATTTTCAGATTTTACAAGACAGAACAACGAAAAGTTAAACACATTCTTTAACAATCTGACACAATGTTTAGACCTCACTCGACCTGTACTATTCAACGAATAAAAATAATGCATCTTCAACAAGGCAAAATATAAATTTTAAATTGTAACATATTATTGTTACATATTTAATTTGTTAAATATTTAAATTGTTACATATTTAATTTCATATAAACTAACAGTCATTTCAAACATACATATTTAAATCATAAGATTGTGGAAAACAAACTCATTCAAAATGTATAATATGAGGTTTTGCCGACCTAATAAAAGCATAATAACCTATATGAAAAATGTTGATGCGACATGAATTCATAATTTATACATTCTATTTAAAGGATTGTCCTCAGTATAAACACTATTGTACATAGTAACACAAAATAGATCTCTGTTCCTGGAAGTAGTCTGAGGAACATTATACCGAATCTGATTAAATAATAATATACAAACAATATGTAAATTGATGAGCATGTACAAAAATATCGAGTCATTATAATTTCTGAGAGATGCACGAGATGGAATGTTCAAAGCAGTCACAATATCACTGTAATTATAATCAAAGAATGAGTCTGGCAATCCTGGACATATAGATGACATCCTCAAGAACCTGTGTTGAACCATTTCAAGTCTGCAAATGTGAATCTAAAAGGCAAGAGACCAAACTACAGAAGCAAGCATGAGGATGTTTTTCAATCATGGTGTACAGTTTTCAAGGTAAGAAAAGAATTAAAGCCAACTCAAGTTCTTTAATTGAAACCCAGTAGTTGGTTCGATTTATTAATAATGAACTCAACATGCTTAGAAAATGACATTTTGGAGTCAAAAATAACTCAATCTTGAATATTTATGTACTAAATTTAAATTATTTACTCCCAGAATTTCTTATCATTTTTATTAGAAATTTTTCAGTTTGTTCAAAACTAAAAGAAATAAGTAATGAAAGTTCATTGCCATATGTTATGTTGTTCAGAAGATATTATGCCATAAGTATTGACACAACTGAATATTAAATGTTATGTAAACTTTTGAATTTCTTTATTGCAATTTATGTAATGTCCGTCAATCTGCAAAAAACATCTTATGGAATAGTTTCTTACTAATCTACCATATCAAAAAGTCACTTTGAAGGATTTTCATTTTGGGGTAATGCATTAATTACATAAAGCTAGAGAGGGGAAGGGAGTTTCCAATAGTGTAACATAGGGGCTGGGGGTATTTATTTGGTGTAATGTAAAATTGATATTTAATTTATTTTGTTTACATTTTTCAACATTTGTTGAAATACAATCCTTTCTTTTAAGTCTTATACTAAAACATTAAAATATTAACTACTTAATTTGTTTTGAAAACATAAATAAAAGTTATTAGAAGTAGTTACAATAAATGGAAATATTTTTTATCGTTTTTTTGAATCTAAAAGATTACGAAGAAAATATTCAAAACTGATCTGTAGTACATTTCAGAATCCAATTAAATTGGCACAGTACTCTCACCCACGTGTCATCCACAACGGTGTGTGAATGGCTTGTGATCACAAATTTTCTCACCCATGCGTCCTTTCACTCAAAACTTGCCACCAATCATATTGTTTGATGCAGTCCGCATCACAACATAATTCTGACTTTAATTATCATAAATTGAATACACAACTTCAACCAAATGAATACATTTTTTTACTGTGCTTTAATTTATTTTCACTTCTTGCATTTACAACAGGGAGAGGGGTGTGTTGTCGCAAGCATTACGAAATTATTTAGGGGGTTCAAGCGAGCGTTACGAGGGAGAGAGGGGGCATTCAAAATTCTCTAAATTTGTGTTATGTAATTTATGAATGGCCGTTTTCTATCTCTGCTTTCTGTAATGGCACCAATGATACTGTTAGACACAATGGATCATATGGAGCAACCAACGTTTGAGAAAATCAGAGATAGCTCCATACTACTCTATACTGCAATCTAAGGTTGCGATACAATGTAGATTGTTAACAATATATCACAATTATCTTTAGTCTTTATTATAAATATTCAGGAAGCTAATGGCCACTTACCTTCTCCTGTACATTCTCTTTCTCTTCAACTTCTTCCTTCTCTTTTTCTTTAGTTGAAATAATATTGAGGCGTCTAACATACTCTTTAGCCTCTCGCATTTCTTTCTCCCATTCTCTATAAATTACTTTGTCCTCGGGTGCCAACTTATGAAAATAAACAATTGACCATAAACTTGTAAAATGTTTATTTTGGAAGCACTTGCACAATCTTTTCATAGCAATTACTCAAAGGCTGTTTTTAAACAAAATTACTTACCCAACAATAAATATGATCCAGTGTGATTATACCATGTTGCAGCATCAGGGCAGTAACAAGATACAAAGACTTTGGTGTAGGTTCTTCAGTGTTTGTTTGATAAAAACAGTACTTAAAACCCAGAACTTCACAAAGTATTTTGGGATCACACATGTAAGACCGCAATAATGGAATGAAAAAGTCATCAAGTTTAGGACGGCATTCAAAAGATTCCAAAATGATATCCAATACTCTATTAGGATCTAAATTAAAGCAACCTGAAAGAAATTTTTGAACATAAGAATTGCTTCACTTTACAGAATGGGATCCTTCACAAACTAATAAACAAATAATTTAGGCTCATTAGATTAGAAACATATTTGCATTATAAGTCACTACATATTCTTCTTTTTTTATATTAAATATTAGAAAATAATAAATGAAAATTATTGTGCAGAACTACTCAAGAAAGTAAATATGACTAGATTTTCTTTTAATTTGTTATATCAATGATCCGTGTTTCCAGAGATGAAAATTATTAAATAGAAACTGCATACAATAATGTCATAACTTACCAGTTCTTCTGAAAAACATTTCGTTAACATTATTTGTAACACATCAGTTTTAATATATTATTATCAACAAAAACCATCTATAAAAACATGAACTGTATATTCACTCGCTAACAATCTATTCACGATAAACTTTTAATTTATTTTAGAGAAAAAAAATATGGGAGGAAGCAAAAAAACACACTTCTTAAAATTACATAGTATCTATTTTTATTACCTATAAGTGACTTAATAACTTCCAATATATTGCCGGGAGTAACATTGCCCGATATTTCTTGATTTAACTCCGTAATTAATTTTGCATATCCTTCACTTTCTTCCCTAAATAAATTAAACTTTCGTTGTTTATAGCTGAAAAAAAATCCAATTAATTATTCAACACAAAGATATGTATACAGCTAAAAAATACTTCCTCAATCAATTACCATAAAACAGTCTAACTTTTGTGCAATTGTATTAAAAGGAACATTATGTGAAATAGTCACCAATTTGAAAATATCAACTAATAAAAAATATTTTTGAAAGTATTTCTTCTACAATAAAATTGCCTTGTTTGCTCTTTAACAACAAACATAAGGCAGGTCACAATGAAAACTATATAACAGAATTGTACTTACTAAAGTTTGGTTTTCACTTTGATGAACTTTGTGTAAAAGTTCCTATTCTTTAATGTCCCTACATCTTGTAATGTGTCTATTTCAAGTCGCTCTTTCAGTAACTTTTCAGATAAGAACTGTAAATGAAAATTCAGCAAATGAAAAAAAGGAATATACCATATTGAAAAAAAGGAATATACAATAAAAATAACACACACTATACCTTTTCTGTTTCTTTAACAATTATGCAAAATCTTTGCCTATCTTCTGAATTGTTTTCAGCACATGATGTTTCAGCATCTATTATGCTTATGACATCCAACATCAGAGATGGCATGTCCTTATGAAAACTCTGAAAAAACAATAATTATCATTAAATAAATATCTATGTCATATAAATAAACTACCTTCAATATAAATATAAATTGTTTACTACTGTCAATATAAATTACCTTTATATTTATAAAAAATTATTAACTGATGCTCATAAAAACATTACAACAGTTATGTTATTTGAATAATTTTTTAACAACAAACTCATTGACTTGATTATTAAAAATATTATATTAAAATCAGATCAGAAAAATAGATGTAACTTTGATTTGAACATAGATGACTTGAGAACACAGACGGCTAAGTGTGTTGGAGTTCAGATAAAGATTTTGGGGAGAAAATTGTAGCTCAAGACACCACTGAGTGAAGAGTTACATCCTTTGAAAATCAGATTGTCATTTTTACACTTTCCCAAAACTGATTTTTTTTTTTAAACAAATGACCCTTTAGAATATAATTAAAAACTAGTCTGTCATAAAACTGAAAATCAATTGTGATTAACATACAATTCAAATTTGTAAGTTAGTGACCGAATTGACCACATCACTCATTGGCTTTTTCATAAATAAATATTATAACCTGTAAAATATTAAATTCCAACTAACTTAAATAATATTTATATAATTATAATCTACTAAAATACATATTCACAATTATCATAACCACCAATAGCGCAGCTGTACCGCGATGCCATAGGCAGCACATACTTCCTCACATTATTGGAAATAATTACGTAATATTGAAATATTGTAATTTTTGCCACACTAAAAACTCAGTTATAACTTGAAATATATGTAGTTTTTCAAAATCGTCACGCCTGGAGTGGAGCTAGATCGATTGGAGATTATCTATTCAGGAAAAAATGGTACGGATAGTATAGGTGCTAATGGTGAAACTGGCAGACGGATGTTTTGAAAAAAAAAACTTTTTCAGTATCAGGGGACCCCAAAACATATATACCAGTAATATATGTCCAAGATATATTACTCCATATATACGTACGTACGGTATAATAATGGTAAAGTAAAAAATTACAAACATTTAATTTTTATGACCAGCCATACATTGTTAATATTTACATTAGCAGCGATTGCTTCACATTATTGCATTTACGAGCACATGAGAACGATTTCTTATAAAATTTCTCGAAAACTTAAAACTTTTCTGTGAATATGAGCCCAAAATTCAGAATTTTCAGAAATGCTGAAAAGCCATATCTCAAAAACTGCTCAAAATTTGTTCTTCACACTTTTCATACCGTGGATTGCACTGTCTAAGATGATATAAAATTCATCTTGTTGTACTGTAAGTTTTTTTAAAAAATTACACAAATGTAATTTTTTTTTAAATATCTCTCATGCCTTTAATATGCACATTTCCAGCGATTAGTAAACAATATTGTATTGTAGTTGTAAGTGCTTCAAATGATTTCCAATATGGGTTTTCAAAAATTCAGAAGATATTGTGAAAGAGCTTCAAATTTCGCATTTACAACAATTCTCTCACAAACAGCTCCAAATTTGTCAATTATGTGTTTGTACTATTCTATAATATTCTTTAAGTAATATATCGCTTCTGTTATGAAACCGAAATTTTGAGAAAATTTCAAAAAAATTTATTTTGGGGGCTATAGATGGCAGCTGGCTAGAGAATGTGGCTGATCCAGACCAAAGACATTACAAAACTAGTTCGTGAAAGTCTGCTCCATTCTGTAACACCACTTGTTTCTTCATTCAGTGGTATCTATTACGCAGCCTTTTTTTTCTTCTGCTCTTTCTCATACCGATTCCATTTCTTGTCTCTTTTGCTCTTTGATAGTGTTTTTCTGTTTAGCTCTGAACCCACAAGGATACCGAAGCTTGTCTCAATCGAAAGTGATGGTATTTTTTCTCCATCTGCAGCTTAAGGTTTTATTATCACATGGTAGTTCTAGCTGTAATCTGCACATGTGTAGATCCTATAATAAATGACCTGGGCACAAATTTCACGAACACAATGTTGCAAATTTAAAATAATAACCTGTGTGTCTTTTTCTCTTACACGCATAATGTTTAGAGGACTTGTGGCATTACAGTTTATACTCAGCACGAATTTTCAAATACATTAGACAATGTTTTATAGAGTATCGTGTAATTTGTTACTTCATGACTTAAAATGATGTAATTAACTAAAAATAGTTATTTAAAAATGATACTTATAAATAATAAATTTCTTATAAATAATTTTACCATAAATAATAAATTCTGTCAATTGGAAATAATTGTTAGCTCGAATTTCACATCAACAATCAAATTTTTGAAAGTGAGAACTTTTCCCAACCTTGCACTGGAGGAAAGTAAAAGAAGAGGTATAATATTGCTATCTAGGCAACAACATACGAAATGCACATCTGGAAAGGAAAATCCAGAAATATAGATCCCATGGAATAATTTAAGAAACATTTTGGGAAAAACAAGACTCAAGAAACAAAATTGTTAAAACACAATATGATATCCAAACCAACGCTTCTTTTTGGATGTCTAGACTCTAAAAAGTAGAGATTAACGTACACTGAAAAAAGTACAACTGAGATTCCTCTGACATATCTCAGGAAAAACACAATGGTTTGACAAAGAAACACAGATAAAAGGAAAAGACTTAAAATAAATAAAACTGTTAAAGAAATAAAAGGCCAGAATAAATGGTTGTGACTCATTAAGGGAGCGAGTACTGAAAGACTTTCAAAACTGGCATTAAATTACAGACCAACAGAGCAAAGAGACATTCGAAGACCAAAGAAAAAATGGAGAGAACAGGGGTACCTGAAGATACCAGGTGCATCAGGCCTAACGTACAAATAGAAACAGGTGATATGCTAAATATCCAACAGTTCAAAATGATAATAATATTTACACAAATTTACATGATTACGATATGATTTGTTTACTGGAACATTTTAGCACAAATCAGTGAACGTCCCAAGGCAAGCATATAATGCAACATCTTGGCGTATCATATACTCAAAAAGCATCGACAAGCATATATTACAACCAAAAATAACTCCTGTGTATTCCAAAGAAGTAGGTTTTCACTTTCACTTATTAGGACTGAAATACAACTGTTCCATTACGTTAATCAAGAACAAATAAAAAAAATTTAGGTTTAGAGGACAGAAGTTGCAAATGGGTAAGACAATATGTAATTCCTTCATAATCTTTTATACTTACCACTATCTCCGATAAAGTAGCTACTGTTGCTTCACGTCTTAAAGGACCTTTGATCCCATGCCAGATTAATTCATATACTGCTCTTGTGAGCCCTATGAGAAAATTCATATAAACTGAATATGTTTATTTCATTACACAAAGAAATATGGTACACATATTTTCACATTGAAACATGAGAAAATGTTCTGTATAAAAGTAAAATTAATCCCCACATGTGAAAATCAATATTATAAGCAGAGTACTTAGCATATTTGGACAAAACGTTTCTGACAGATCTCAGGCTTCTTTTCAAAGTAATAAATATCATTATCTTTCATTTCACAGCAATATACATAGATTTCCCTTCCCTCTCAATATTATGTACATCAAAAGTTTTATGATTTAAGTTTAGTTTAGCAAGATAAGTTTCTTGCATGATTCACGCACAGCAAAAAGTTTTAAATCTGATGACTCAATCCATAACTCCCAGTGTATGTTGACCCACTGAATCTATCATAAGAATTGGCCAAAAGTCTTCATTTTGGTTAACGAGAAAAGTAATTTCTGTTTTATCTCCCTTTCTTTTTTTTAACTCATTTACAATATTTTCTTCTTCACAATCTCAATACCAACAAAAAATGAAATACTATGGAAACTTTTTAATGTCTTGGGCAAAATAATATTTCATGTAAAAAATTACTAAGATAACCATCAACCAAACAGCATTAGGGCCAACATTTTTCTTGGAGTTAGATCAGATAAAACTTTACAAATTACTTAAACATTAATATTAATTATAAAATTATAAATCATCAAAATATGGCGCATCTTAAATGTCGTGTAGTGAAATGTTCAAATCAACCTTACCATTAACTCCATCCTTTACTAAAACAGGACTGACATTTTCATTTCTTGTCAACTGCTTACACAGCTTGATACTGCAACAAATTAATACGATAATCTGAATACAAACATATACCAAATTCTAACTCAATTTTTATATCAATTAATAATAGCAACTTCACACAAAATATTAATTTATTTTTATATGACAGCCTTCACAAAAAAATTAATCCATGAGATGTGTGAAGGTATGGCCTAGAAGCAACTGGTGTTAATTAATAATAATTAATGTAAGGGGATGTGACTCACATCACCTTACATTAATTAGGACACCGTATCATTGAAGATCTCAATACAATATTTAGAAGACTTAAAAGCCCTAGAAGTTACTCAGGATTTGCAATATTCTCAAACAACTAATACTTGAATCTGAATTTCAATTGCATCTAATGACCAACTGCAAGCAACTTTAAGCAACAAAAAGCTACCATAAAATATTTTGAATACGGGGACTTATATTTTTTTAAAACTTCTCTTCAGTTTTATAAAAATTATCCCAGTGAATGTGAAGAAAATATAGTAAGAAATTGATTTAATAGTATGTTCAATATTGAATATTTTCAAACGATAAACATCAAAATGGAAACAAACTTTTTTGCCTAAAATCAAAATACACTACATCAACAATGTCATTTAGTATTAATCATTCTAATGTATTTCTCAAGCACAAATAAATGTCAAGCAAGAACGTAAATAGTTTTATCAACCAGCAAGAATTAATACTGAAAAAGTTTCACTAACTGACAAAAATGTCTGAATTTAAAGCAGCAATGCACCAAAAATGTCTGAATTTAAAGCAGCAATCCCAGCATTAACTAGCTTATATATCTTGTGTTCACTAACACTTTTCTGAATGCTCAAATGTTTTAGTGCTATGATATAAAGCAATATTGATCTATCAATAACACGTTTACAAAACATTGTTGACACCTATTTCCCTTCTCTTAAGTAAACCTCAAAAGAAACTCAAGCTAATTCAAGGGAATTTTTTTAACTTAAAGATTTATTTTAAGAAATTATCTTCCTCAAAGTAGTATGTAAAAATAAAAACCTAAGCCTCAACACAAAATGTGCATCCCTCTCAATCAAAATTAACATTTTCACACCCATTCAATTATTACACAATGTATGTTTCTAGGAAGTAATGTAGGAATTACATATAGTCAATAAACAGAACTAAAACAAATTAAGTAATTAATGTGATTTATTTCGAGAGAAAAAACTAATCACAATGTTTGGTTAAGTTGTCAACTGTTACAAAGAAATCTTATCAGAACTATTCTCGCTAATACCTGATAAAAACTAACAGAATGAAAAACTTATGTAAATAATAAGAATCTTCACAAAGCTTACAAATTAAAAAGACAGCACATCGTATAAACAACACGACCAACAGCAAGTTTCACATTTGAACAAATCTATCAACAATTCACACTTCCATCCACATAAATAACTCGTCGATCTTATCCCTATGACACAACATACAATAATTTCTCACTATAATCACTTACAATTCAGGTTTCCCTTGCTTTTCCCAGCTTTTCCATAAATCCGGGACCAGCACACCCCCTGCCATTTTGTACTATCTTGCTTGCGCTCAGCGCTCCACGATGCTTCAATCTCGATCTTGGAGTTGGACATCAGTTCGCAGGTGGCGAACTCCCTTGCAATATGCCCTTAATTTCGCGATTTTAGTATGAAAACCATTGGCCGGATAATAACTTATTTCATTATTTTGCTTCATGGCGTCTGAGAAAATTAAGGTCTAATATTTCTAACATCATATGCCAAGATAAGTATATTAGTATTTCGTGATAAAGACTTGGCGCCATTCAATGCTGTTCAATGGAAACCCGAGTCCAGGAAAACCGTTGGAAAGAAGCAGAATATGTTATTATTAATTTTGCATTCAATAGAATTATTCGAAATAAATTTAAAAGTAATGCTATATTTTATTTTTACTCTGAAATTATAAAAATATTGTCGACCGAGATAGAAATTGCTGTGCATTTCCTTACGTTTGTTAAAGGCGAACATTCCATTTTTTTGCTAAAAGTTTATATACTGCATCGGACTTGAAGAAAATTATAAAACTAACATGTATTGGACAATGCGTTTTTGTTGGGAAAATAATTTCATTTTCAATTTGCTATTGGGAAACCAATCAAGGGAGGTAACTACAGATTCCACTCACGTAGTTTTGTAATAAATAGTTGTAGACTTTCAAATGAGTAAATAACAAAATATAAGACGACCTTTTAATTCGCACAAAATATATTGTCGCTATCAGAGTATTTTGGATCCTGGACGAGCGTTACCTTCCGATTACTTCCGTTCGACATTCTAGAATTTATTGGACGGAAGAGCTCAGGCGCGTTACGGCATTTTCACTTCTTAGTAACCCTTGATACTGGCTGTACAAAATATTTCGATATGTATTCAAAATCAGTTTATAAAGTTTATAATTTTTGTTTTCCTACATTACAATTTGCAGATAGAGATTTTTTCGTAACAATCTGCTCTTCAGAAATAGACCTTTTAAAAAGATTTGTGTGTGTTTTACAGTAGTTTTCACGCAATTGTCCTTTGAAACAAAACTTTCTTTTTTTTTTAACAATCAAACAAACAATATTTCGAATAGTGAAATTCGAAAGAATTTCGAACACAATTTTCGAATAAAGTTTGCTTATAAGAATTTTTGTTGAACCTTCTGAATATTTGAAAGTGCACAGTTAATAATACAAGAAAGAGCGTGCTGTTGTAACCTCACTTGATTTAATTTTTTAATCCTTGTTTGCCAATATCTTTGAACAAATTTATCGAAACTTGAATAATTACATTAAACTATAAACTAAAAGCCGAAGTAGAAGAAGAATATAACTAGAGTCTGGAAATGTGGCGAAATGATATTTTATTATTGTTAGTACAATTTTCTAACTTTGAACAACAGGAATCAGTGATTATTCTTCTGGTGTTGTTTTAATAGATTTTCATTTTGCCTCATGATGCCCTTTTTTTAGTACTATGCCTTTTTCTTCCTTTTATTTTTTTCTTCTTTTTTTCTCTTTCTTTCTTTCTTCAGGTACCGACCTCGATCAAACTGGAAATATACTTGTAAGTCTGGACAACACGAAGCCACTGTCACGTTGTGTCTTATTGTGGAAATAGTTCGCCTTAGAAATCGAAATGAGAAAGGAAGATGATATCAGTCCAGATTTTTTTCATTTTTGCTGACAGGCGCGAGAACTCACGCGGAATCCAATCCTACTTTTGAATATGGGCTACGATCCCTTTTGAGGACGGAGCTTTTAGAATTTGATATTTGATGCAACCCTTCTCAGTGTTGATTACACAAGTCACGAGAGCGAAAAACGGAAACTACAATTGAGTTTTCATTGAGGTCATTCCAAGATCTTAGATCCTATTTCGATCTTACGTCCTATCCTCTTTCTGTTATACGTAAACGATATGCCCTC